ATTGCCAGGATCACCAGGTGGAAACCTGTCTGGGCTACATAGTGAGACACCATCTTTTTTTTTTTTAATACATGTGAGTGATTTGCCTGCATGTATGTGTGGGCACCAGGTGTGTGCCTCGTGCCCCTGGATGTCAGTTCCCTTGGAACTGGAATTACAAATGGTTTGTGAGCCACCATGTGGGTACTGGGAATTGAACCTGGGTCCTCTGGAAGAGCAGCCATTGCTCTTAACTGCTGAGGCATCTCTCCAGTCTGACACCCATCTTTAAAGGAGAGAAAAATTTAAGGTCCCTTGTTGGGTATGGTAGCACATACTTGTAAACCCAGCACTCCAGAGTTGGAGGTGGAAGGATTAAGAGTTCAAAGCTAGCCTCAGATACATAGTAAGTTAAAGGACATTTTTGGGGCAGTTATGAGACCCTACTTAAAAACATGACAAGACTACACAAAAGGCTGACCTGATAGTGCCCAGCTGACTGCTTACCCTCTAGACAGAATTATTCCCCTGGGATCATTTCCAGTCATTGCTGGTATTTGTTAATCCCTTACTGTAAACACTTCCAGTCATAAGTCCCTTAACAGCTAGGGAAACTGAGGCTCAAGCAGATGAAGTGACATAGTAACAAGTAGGAATGTCAGCACAGGGATTCGAACCCACAGTGGAATCATCATGGAGCCCTTTACAACCACTAGAGGGCACACATAACCACATACCCACTTGATGTTGCTGAGGTCCTCTAAAAGGTCTGGGCCTGGCTGGAGGGGGAGGAGCCTGCTTTGGATTCCAGTCCTCATTCCCTGAGTCCCTTGACTGTGAATGATAGCAGGATTCTGAGCCTCATTGGACTCAGCTCTACAGAGAACTTAATAACACAGCTTAAACTACAGGACTGCTAGGATGAGAGCACACCAAAGGTACAACAGTAGGGGTGCATGATCACCGGGGACAATGCACACACACACACACACACACACACACACACACGTCCGTGCTACTCTGCAGCCTGGGTGCCTTCTAAGCTTGCTGCAATAGTCTAAAGCAGGCAGGCAGTGGGGGTGCACGCCTTTAATCCCAGCACTCAGAGGCAGGCGGGCAACCCTTTTCACAGCTCCTTGTGGTGTTGTGACCCCAACCACAAAATTATTTTCTCTGCTACTTCATAACTGTAATTTTGCTACCGTTATGAATCATAATGTAAACATCTGTGTTTTCCAATGATCTTAGGTGACCTCCTGTGAAAGGGTCCATCCATCACCAAAGGGGGCGCCACCCACAGGTTGAGAACCACTGGTCTTAAGCCACTAAACAGAGAAATATATCATCCATAAGAACCTGAGTTCAAACAGGCGTTGGTAGCACATGCCTTTAATCCCAGCACTCGGGAGGCAGAGGCAGGAGGATCTCTGTGAGTTCGAGGCCAGCCTGATCTCTAGAGCGAGTGCCAGGATAGGCTCCAAAGCTACATAGAGAAACCTGTCTCGAAAAAAACAAAAACAAAACAACTACAACAACAACAAAAAAAAACAAGAACCTGAGTTCAGACCCCAGCACCTATGTAGCAAGCTAGGCACGGTCTCCCATGCACCATAACCCAACGAGGCAGAGACAGAAGGGTCCCTGGAGCCCCCTGGCCAGCCAGCCTTGCTGAATGAGTGTCCCAGGTTTGGTAATAGATTCTTTGAAAAAATAAGGTGGAGCCAGGCATACTGGCTTTGTGATTTCCAGACCAGCCAGAGCTACATAGAAAGACCCTACCTCAAAACAGTAATAATAATGATGATGGTGATGATGACAATGATAGTAACAATAAATAAGGTAGAGAATAATTAAGATCTTTGGTGTCTATGTGAAGTTGGGCATTAGCCTATGTTTAGCAGCCTGAGGCCTTGGGTCCAATCTCCAACATCAAAAAGACCCAACTCCCAGGCTTGGTATTATGTTACATGAGTGGGATTCAATTTTTTCCTCTTTGTTATATGTTGTGTGTATTTGTGTATTTGGGTTTTTGTTGTTTGTTTAAGACAAGGCCTTAGGCTGGAGACATGGCTCAGCAGTTAAGAGCACTGGCTGTTTTTCCAGAGGACCAGGGTTCAATTCCTAGCACCCACATAGCAGTTCACAACTGCCTGTAACTCCAGTTCCAGGGGATCCAACACCCTTATATAGACATACATGCAAATACAGGCAAAACACCAATGCACATTAAAAAAAAAAAAGGAACAAGGTCTTGCTTTGTAACCTTGGATGGCCTGGCCCTCACAGAGATCCTCCTGCCTCTGCCTCCTGAGCATTGGAATGAGAGGCGTGTGCTACCATACCTGGCTGTTGTGCAGTTTTAACATTACTGAAGCAGTGCTCACAGAGGTGCAGTGGTGTCCCATCCAACTCCCTGCTGCTGAACACTTGAATTGCTTCCAGTTATTGCACAAGTGTGCTAATTGCTGCATCCAGCCTTTTCCTTCTTAGAGAGAGTCCAAACCTTCTTGACATTACCATTACTCCAAAAAGGTTCAGAATGACACACACAGTCTTGACAAAGGACACATGAATTTTCAAGGCCCTTATGATCCACAAGGATCCAAGGATCACTTTGGTTTCCTAAAGGGAGAAGCATCCTTCCAGCTGAGATGCAGCCAGGCAGGGTCCATGAGAAACTTCTCCCACAGTGACACTACTTCTCCAGCTGTAGGAACTGGTAATGAGCTCCCTGTCTCTGGGCAGATTTAACCAGGTGCTGTGTGACTCTCTCCTGGGAAGCCAGCATCATTGGGAAGGGTACTAGTTAAAGTGAGGTTATCAGTCTTTAAGGAACCTCTTCATGTCTCAGAACCTCTTAGACTGAAATAGAAAATTCCATTTCTCTTTCCACTTTAGATCTTACTCACTACTACTGCTAGGGCTGTCCCCAGGTTCTTGCACTATGTCTCAGATGCCACCCACACCCTGGCCTCTGAAATTGGTGGGCATGCTGAGTACAGGGCAGATCTGGCCTTACCTGTGTGTGAACCAGGATGTCAGGCCTGGAGGGGAATGTACCTCAGATATGATTGCTCTCCAGTCTCTGCGACTCCCCAGTGTATTCCCTGGGGACAGACACTTCATCTCCCTGAGCTGCAACTTCTCCAGTCAGTGAAATGGAGATGTTAGCACTCCTACAGGGCATATGCACACAAGTATTGTAGATCTCAGTCAATGGCTGCAGTTTGTCTTTTTTTTTTTTTTTTTTTTTTTTTTTTTTTTTTTTTTTAGATAGGGTTTCTTTGTGTAGCCTTGGCTGACCTAGAACTAACTCTGTAGACCAGGCTGGTCACAAACTCACAGAGATTGTCCTGCCTCTGCCTCTCAAATGTTGGGATTAAAGATGTGCCACCATTGCCCAGTCTGCCTTTTGTTTGTTTGGGTTTTTTCGTTTTGTTTTGTTTTATAGACAAGATCTTTTTTTTTTTTTTTTTTTTTTTTTAGACAGGGTTTCTCGGGGTAGCTTTGGAGCCTATCCTGGCATTCACCCTGTAGACCAGGCTGGCCTTGAACTCACAGAGATCCGCCTGCCTCTGCCTCCCAAGTGCTGGGATTAAAGGCATGCGCCACAAACGCCCGGCAGAGACAAGGTCTTATGTAGTCCAGGCTGCCCTTGAATTTACTCTGTAGCCAAGGTTGACCTAGATCTCCTGATCTTCTCCCTCCACCTCGTGGTGCTGGGGTTACAGCTGTGCATCGGCACACCAGGCTCATGTAATACTGAGGATGAAGCCCAGGGCTTTAAGGATGCTGGCCAACTAAACTACACTCCAGCCCCACCCCAACTTATGTTGATTTGGGGTAAATCCATAAGAGACCAAGGCAGGGGCTTCATGCTGGCACATGCATGTGATCCAAGCACTCAGGAGGCTGAGGCAGGGGATCAGGAGTCCAAGGCAGGCTGGGCTACATAGAGAGACTTCACCTCAAAACAGAGAGACTGAAGACAGGATGAGTCTGCCTGGGATGCTGTAGGCAGTTGTCCACCCAGTGAGACTTGGGGGCCTTGCTGGAGGTGTTTGTGGACTGAAACACAGTGGCAGCTGATTCCTTCCAAATATGGTCACATCAGAGTCTTGGACTTCACATGCCCTTCCACATCCCTTGGAGAGTCAGGGGCTATTTCCTCTCCGTGAACCTGGCTGGTCCAGTGACTATGAAGGAAGTGGCACCACTCCACACTGTTAACTTCCACCACAAATTCCCAGAAGGTGGTATAGCTTCCCTTTGTGCTGGCCCCTGAGGTACCACATGAACACACATCTACCCCCCTGGCATGGCCTTGTTCTGGGGAAGCCCAGTAACCAGCTATGCAGAGAAACCACATGGAGAAGCCTTGAGGTGTTGCAGAACATTATTTTAACTAGGCAAAGATGTGTTATCATTTTGTTTATGCTGCATTTGTTAAATTATGTAAAGATGTGTTGCAGTTGTTTCACCTTGCCTGCTAAGGCACCTGCTAAAGAGCTGAATGGCCAACAGCTAGGGAGAGAAAGGACAGTCAGGGCTGGTGGGCAGAGAGAAGAAATAGGAAAAATATAGGCTCCAGAGAAAAAAAAAATGGAAGGAGAAAGAGGAGGAGAATGAGGGATATGCCAGTTAGCCTGGTGTAGAGAAGCAGTTAAAGGTATACACAAGTAAAAAAGGTCATAAGCCCCGAGGCAAAAGACAAAGAGAAATAAGTTAATTTAAAAGAGCTAGCCAGGCCGGGTGTTGGTGGTACACGCCTTTAATCCCAGCACTCGGGAGGCAGAGGCAGGCAGATCTCTGTGAGTTTGAGGCCAGAATGGTCTCCAGAGTGAGTGCCAGGATAGGCTCCAAAGATACACAGAGAAACCCTGTCTCGAAAAACCAGAAAATAAAATAAAATAAAATAGCTAGTCAGAAACCTGCCTAAGCTAGGCTGAGCATTCAAAACTAATAAGTCTCTGTGTCATGATTTGGGAGCTGGTTGGTGGCCCCAAAAGAAAAAGCTAATGTACTGAGGCCACACAGAGAAAAGCAAATGTCCTCCCTCTCTGGCTGGTGACACAAGGACTGGAGCCAGATCCTTTTTAAAATTATTTATTTTATTTTATGTACATTGGTGTTTTGCCTGCATGAATGAATGTCTTTATGAGGGTATTGGATCCCCTGTAACAGGAGTTATGGACAGTTGTGAGCTGCCATATCAGTGCTGGGAATTGAACCTGGGTCCTCAGGAACGGCAGTCAGTGCTCTTCACCACTGAGCCATCTCTCCAGCCCCAGGAGCCAGACCTTTACACTGGGCCTCTCCCAAAAATCATGACTCTCAGACATTCAGACATTTATCAAGATGCTGGCATAGCAGATCTGTGACATTGGAAATGGTTGTTATGCAGCGATAGCTAATTGATTTACATAGGAAATCTTCCCTTTCAGGGGAAGGAATTCAATATTCTCCCTTGCCTTAGTGACATGGGACACATTGAAGCAGGTCCTATACATTCGAGAATTGTGGAAATGATGGTGGGGCTTGGTGGTATATGCATTCGGAGGCAGAGGAAGGCAGATCTCCGTGAGCTTGAAGCCAGCCTGGTCTACATGGCTGTTTCCAGTGCAGCTAGTAATACATATTGAGATAGTGTTGTCTCACAACAACAACACAACAAAAACAAAAAAGAATAGTGATATCAGCAATTTGGATACTAGAAGTTCCACCTGTTGGACTCTTACCATGCCAGGCATTGTGCTACACATGGCTTTCTCTCTCTCTCTCTCTCTCTCTCTCTCTCTCTTTTTTTGAAGTGGACAATGTTGTTTTCAGAAAATGAATTAGTTTTAAGATATTCAAATGATGCAACTGAAAGAAAGAAAAGACATTCTCTTTAAATTCAGATGGACAATTAAGAATCCTTCCAATTCCATGTACGCATGAAATCCAGATCTGACATGTCACAGGCTCATTTTTTTTAATGACTTCAAGTGGCTGATGAAGATGCACAACCCTGGAACTAAGCCACAAGACAGCTGTCCTATGTAGAGCTTGTTAACCCAGCACTTGTTCCATCAACCTGGGCTCATTCCCCAATACTTAGGATTTGGGTTCCTCAGGGCTTCTTCAGCATTTAACTAACTCTTTGTTGGTTGAAGGTGCTGGGACTGTTTCTCCACACATAAACTGATCTTTGTCATAAATCACTTTTATAATGAGAGAGCAGCTAGGACACATTGCCACATCTTCTCCATTCTCCAAATCTTCCTTGGTGGTGGAGAAGTTATCCCCACAGGGGCAGGGGTAGAAATATGTCTCCGAGTCCTCATCATATTGAAAGTCCTCGATCTCCACCTCGTCGTGAAACACTGCCATGGTCACCGGGTCGACACCGCATCAGTTTGCCTAACTGTGTCAGAGCAGGGAAGGCCTGGGCTTCCTGGCCCACACAGGAACAGGAACCCACATGGCTTTCTTAATACATTACATTTGCTTATTTGATATGTGTGCATGCACACGTGTGTGTGTGTGTGTGTGTGTGTGTGTGTGTGTGTGTGTGTGTTTGTGTGTGTGTGTGTGTGTGTGTGTGTGTGCGCGCGCGCACCATGGTGTACATGTGGAGGTCAGAGAGCAACTTCCAGGAGTAGGTTCTCCCATCACTATGTGGGTTTCAGGGATCAAACTCTGGTTGTGAGGCTTTTAGCATCAAGTGCCCACATTGCCCACTTCACCCACTGAGCCTCCTCACCAGCATGCTTAATTAATTGTGGTTCTGGGGATTAATCCTATGGCTTTGACAACACTCATCTAGCAAGCGCTGTACCCATGAATTTCCCACCGCACTGCAACCCTCTTTTCACTTTGAGTTCTGGGAAATGGTTTTACTAAATGCTGAGGCTGTCCTTGAAGTGGAACCCAGGCAGGCTTTGGATTTGTTTTCATCTTGCCAGCCTCCTGAGTAGCTGAACTTGCAGGGCTATCATCCCTATCATACCACTGCCCATCTTTTTTTGTTTTGTTTTGTTTTTGTTTTTCGAGACAGGGTTTCTCTGTGTAGCTTTGGAGCCTATCCTGGCACTCGCTCTGGAGACCAGGCTGGCCTCAAACTCACAGAGATCCGCCTGCCTCTGCCTCCCGAGTGCTGGGATTAAAGGCGTGCACCACCAACGCCAGGCCCCACTGCCCATCTTGATGTTGGCTATATTCTTCTAGGCTGGGGTGTGAAGCTCAGTGGCTTGGTGTGTGCTAGCATTAGAGAAATGCTGAGGAACCTCAGGGGGAGCCTCAGATCCAGGCATTTCAGGCTCTACTGCCAGCATGCTTGCACACAGCAGGAGACCTCTATCTGGGGTCTTTTGGAATCGTCACTGTCATCTCCATCATCACCTTCACCATCACCACCACCATCATCACTATTTTACTATTACCATCCCCACCATCAATATCGTCATGACCCCCACCATCATCATTGCCATCATAGAGACAATGTCTCGCTGTGATGCTCAGGCCGGCCTTAACCTCACACTCCTCCTGCCTTTGTTTTCTGAGTGCCAGGACTACAGCCACACCACCATGTCCTGTTCCCCAGATTCCTCCAATCCCCGTTCATTACCACAGCTCTCACCCTTCCATCCCACCTTCAGTAACAGAATCTTCAAGCTTCCGCCTGAGACTTCCCTTGGGCCTCTTGATGCCTATAATCCACATGCTTTCATCACAGCTTCTACCAGAAAGCAGAAGTGACAGGTTGGGAACAGAAAACAAGATAGAGAATGGGTAAGACTACAGGGGACGGCGCATCCCTGGGAGCCTGTGTCTTTAAGAGCTGGGGCGGGACGGGCCTGAAAGGGCGTGTCGTGGGCGGGGCAATGGGATGGGGGCGTGTCCAGGCAGGGAAGTAGGCGGGACGGGGCTTGTGTGGGCGTGGCTCGGCTGCTCCTGGCCCGGGCTCTAGGGGCGGAAGGTCGTGGCGCCGGCCGTCCGGCTGGAAGAAGCCTCCGAGCTTGCAGATCCAGGCACCGCCCGAGGTAAGAGGAGCCCGAGCTTTGCTGCCCGAGCACCCGTCACTCTAACTTCAGCTTCTTAACCCGGGTTCCAACTGGGACCCCCCAAACCAGAAAGCGCTGCCCAGTTTCTGTCCCTGTCCTTCGCCGTCAAGTCTGCCCACCTCACCAGCGTTCCACGCAGGTGCCGGCATGCTGGAGGCGCTCAATTTGGAAATGAGTAAAAGAAATTGGCGGACAGTGGAGTGGAGACTTGTATTGGGGACACGGGTGTTTGCCTGTGCCCTGGGTCAACGCTCGTGTCCATTTCACAGATGCGGACCCCGAGGCCGTATGCCCAGACATCCCCCAGGCTGCCCACATAGAAAACGCAGACTGAGCTGGAAGGCCGTGTGTTTTTCCACTCCGTATCTGTGCCAAGCAGAGTAGCTAGAACAAGGAGGGACGAGACTCTCTTCCCGTCAACAGGTGAGGAAGTATCTGGGATTCCTTCCGCTCATGGGGATCTCTTCCTGTCCTTCCTGGTCGCTGGGGGCATTGAGAAATGCTTGTGCAAAGAATCACACCCCCTCCAAAAACAAAACAACTCTGATGGCCTTTGCCTCCCTGATTGCAAAAATAAAATGGACAAAATATGTGAGGCAGCTTGCCTAAGACTTTGAGCCAACTTCTGCTTGGAGAGAAAAATGAAGCCCTTTCCCCCTGGCTGGAGGGAAGTGGATTATGCTGCAGCCCCTCCCAACTCTTCCAAGACTGGTCCCAGGCAGTTTGGGTGGCTTTGAGTAACTCACTTCCCTCTGGGCCTCAATTTCCCCATCCGAGGACTGTTGGCTTTGTGGCTTTTTTCCTGCCACATGATCCCTGGCAGCCAGTTGAACTTCTATCCCCAACCCTCTGAACACTCAGAGAGGCCACTGTGGTGTGGCACTTCTGTGGCATCACTGCCCCATGCCTCAGTTTCCTCGTGTGGGGATCAAATGAGTTACCTGGTGTCATGTGCTGGGCTCATTGCAAGACATCAAAGGAGGTTGTGAGGTAAGAGGCACTGTCTTCTCTAGGTCTTGGTGGCCACAGCCAAGGCCACCTCAGAAGTATGGGTTTTTTTTTAGGCTGGAACCCAGTGACTAGTACACATTGAAATCTCAGCTACTGAGGAGGCTGAGGCAAGAGAAACATGAGTTGCCAGGAGTTGGTGGCACACGCCTGAATCCCAGCACTCGGGAGGCAGAGGCAGGTGGATCTCTGTGAGTTCGAGGCCATCTCCTGGTCTTCAGAGCGAGTGCCAGGATAGGCTCCAAAGCTACACAGAGAAACCCTGTCTCGAAAAACCAAAAAAAAAAAAAAAAAAAAAAAGAGAGAGAGAGAGAGAGAGAGAGAGAGAGAGAACCATGAGTTGAAGGTCAACATGGAAAATTTAGGAGATCCTGCCTCAAAATACAGAGTAGGGAGAGGGGTAGAAGCAGGCATGGTTCACATCTGTAAGCGTAGTACTTCCAAACCAGAAGCAAGAGGATTGTCACTAGCTCAAGGGCAGCCTGGGCTACATAGTAAATTCCAGGCTAGCCTGTCTCAAAAAAAAAATCAACAAGGCTGGAGATTATAACCCAGTGCTAGAGTATTTGCCTATATTCATAAGACCCTAGGGTCCATCCTGATGCCCCAACCAAAAAGGAAAAAAAAAAAAAAACAAAAGTCTGAGTTCCTTATTTTTTTTTTGTTGTTTGTTTTGTTTTTTTTTTTCTCGAGCCAGGGTTTCTCTGTGTAGCTTTGGAGCCTATCCTGGCATTTGCTCTGGAGACCAGGCTGGCCTCGAAAGCACAGAGATCTTTTCCTCCCTAGTGCTGGGTTTAAAGGCGTGCACCACCAACGCCTGGCTTCCTTGTTCTTAGGATTGGCTACTTCCCATACTGATCTCATTCAGCTGTCAAGGCCTCTTCCAGGCCTGATATCCTGGTGAAGGGCAGGTCTCAGGGAGACACCCTGGGGGGCAGGGTCACTCCAGAACAAGAGGCATATATTGCAGCGCAGGAGGATTCTCCCTTGGGAATGGGGCCTCTATATTGAGGAGAGGGACTTGGCTTTGACAAGAAAAGGTCTCTGGGCCCCTCCCCTGGGTCCTGCAGAGGCTACATCCCCTCCTCTCACCCCACCCTGCAGGCACTGGAGTGGCCAGCCCTTTGCAACTGAAGCAAGTAGAGGGCTGTCTGGTCTGGCCCCAAGGGGCTGATGGCAGGCAGATGGCTGGATCTGCGCTGGGCGCCTGGCTTCCTCTGTGTGCCTCTGATAATGGAGACAGCATCTGGGGCCAGAGACCCATCCATGAAGGCCCATGAGTACATCCAGTTTTCAGCCCAAGGTGTCAACGGGACTGCCATGGCAGATGTGAGTATCCGGGCAGGGCAGGAAGGTGGATTGGGTGGAGTGTCTCTGTTGTATTGCCAGCTAATTATTACACATCTGCTGTGTGTCAGCACTGATGGGACTGGACCCTGAGATCTACAGGAGCTCCTGATGGAGCTGACTGTGAGCGACAGATAAAGCCAGAGATTTCAGAGAGCAGTGAGCTATGTAAACAGCCATACTGCATGGGGAGGATGTGAGTGTTTGAAGTTACTTCAGGCTGGTGGTCTGTGACAAACGTGTTCTGTGAACAAGTCACCTTGGAGCTTTAAAGGAAGGGAGGAAGCCGCTTGCACAGACAGCTGGGGGAAAGGCTAGGAAACAAGTGTAAAGGCCCTGAGGCAGATTCAAGCTTAGTGTGTTCCCTAACCGCAACAGGCCAGAAGGGCTGAAGCAGTATGTGTAAAAAAAACCAGGTGGGCAGAGCGATAAAGCTGGCCAGATTACAAAAGGGCTTGCGGATCTAGGCTGGGAGGTGAGATTTGGGAGCCAAAGGAGGGTTTTAAGCAGAGGGATGGCAAGATCTGATTTATGTCTTCCTTCAGGGAGTCTCCCTATGAGGAGGATGGATTGAGAGGAGAGAGTGGTCGGAGAGAGACCAGTGCAGGGAGATAGAGCTCCTATAGCCTGCAGGCTGTGAGACTGGGAGTGTGGTGGTGGGTTTGGTGAATTGGGTGAGACTCAGGAAGAGGGACATACAGGTGGATCAGGCGGAGAGCAGGCGGGGATGAGGAATGGATGTCACCATGGGTCCAGCCTGGTCAGCTAAGGGTGACCCAATGCCAAGGACTTGAACAGAGATTTGATTAGGGGTCTCTGGGGCAAGGGATGGGCGCCAGGGCTAGACAAAGGCAGAAGGACAGCTGCAGGGACAGGGAGGAGGAGCCACAGCAGATTGTAAGGCAGGTGCCTCTTGGGGAGAACTGGGACCCACACCTGTACTTTCTTTTCCTTTTGCCATGTGTGTGTGTGTGTGTGTGTGTGTGTGTGCACATGCGAGAGTACTCATGACTGTGTTGTATGTGTGTATGTATATGTGAGAGGGGTGTATGTTGTGTGGTACGTATGTGTGTGCATACATTTGCATATGTGGAGGTGTATACATGGTGGGTGCTGCTTACAAAGCTTACCTGAGAATATACATGTCCATGAGCACATGGAGGCCTGAGATGGACATAGGTATGGCTTGTTCTTCCATTGTACTCATTGAGCTAGGATCTCTCAGTCAAACCTGGAGCTCACCAATATGGCTAGTCCAGTTAGCCAGCTTGCTCTGGGGGAATCCTCTCTTCCTTTTTTAAAAATTTTTTTTATTTGAATTAGAAACAAGATTGTTTTACATGTCAATTCATTCCAATTCCCTCTCCCTCCTCTCCTCCCCTGCACCCCCCCCCAACTAACACCCTATCTATCTCTTTCTGCTCCCCAGGGAGGGTGAGGCCTTCCATAGGGGGTCTTCCGAGTCTGTCATAGCCTTTGGGATAGGGCCTAAGCTCATCCTGTGTGTCTAGGCTCAGGGGGTATCCCTCTATGTGGGATGGGCTCCCAAAGTCCATTCCTATGCTAGGGATAAGTATTGATCTACTACTACAAGGGACCCCATAGATTTCCAAGATCTCCTCACTGACACCCACGTTCATGGGGTCTGGAGCAGTCCCATGCTGGTTTCCCAGCTGTCAGTGTGGGAACCAAGAGTTCCCCCTTGTTCAGGTCAGCTATTTCTATGGGTTTCTCCAGCCTGGTCTGGACCCCCTTGCTCATCACTCCTCCTTCTCTGCAACTGGATTCCAGTTCAGTTCAGTGTTTAGCTGTGGGTGTCTGCTTCTGCTTCTTCTGGATGCTGGATGAAGACTATAGGATGGGATATAAGTTAGTCTTCAATCTCATTATCAGGAGAGGGCATTTAAAGTAGCTGTGTTACTTAGATCGTTAGTTGGTGTCATTTTTGTAGATCTCCAGACATTTCCCTAGTGCCTGCATTCTCTTTAAACCTATAATGTCTCCCTCTATTATGGTTTCTCTTATCTTGCTCTCTTCTGTTCTTCCCCCAACTCAACCTTCCAGCTCCCTTCCCCTCTTCCTTCTAAGGCTGGAATTACAGGTGGTTTCATAACCCACCCAGCATTTACCTGGTTTCTAGGGACTCCATACTCCAGGCCCTATGCCTGTGGGAATGAGCAGCTCTAACCACTGAGCAATCTACCCACTGCTTTCTTTTCTGTTTGAGACAGGGTTTCACGTTTCCCAGGCTGGCTTCAAACTCACTGCCAAATGGAGAATAACTTCGAGCTGATCTTCCTGCCTTCTCCTGAGATCTGGGATTCCAGGCGCGCATCCCCGTGTCATCTCCCCAACCCATGCCTGGTTTCTTTATGTGGATCTGTGGGTAGAACCCAGGGCCAAGCCTTGACACCTGTATTTTCTCTGTCAGAAATCACAAACTCAAACCACCTTCACTGAGAGTGTCGCCGCCCACACCAACTTTATTATGGGAGGAGAGGGGTGTCTGCACCCCACCCTCTGAGATGGCAGTTAAGCCCATTTTACAGGTGGGTGGGCAGTTTGTAGTTACTGGGCCTATAAAATTGGCTGCTACTACCCAGGTAGGAATCTGGGTAATTCTGTTTGTCCAAGTCCCTGTGCTCATTGGCCATCATTGTGCTGAACTCACTGGAAGGCCTGTGTGGTGGGTGGCTTTATCCTGGTACTGGATGAAGACTCTGAGGGACAAGGATATAAAGCTGGCTGTGAGCAAAGTGGTCCCATGGCTCCCTATGACAAACCAAACCTTCCTCTTTAGCACATGGTCTCCAAGAACAGACTCTATCGGCTCCTGTGCTTGAGAAGGCACTGTGCCAGGAGCCTGAGAGGTCTGCTACCCTCTGCGTATTGTCTCATGTAATCTGCATTCATTCACCAAACACTTGTTTATGTTCTACACAGGAACTCATACACTGTAGCCCAGGCTGGCCTTAAACTCAAAATAATGTTCCTGCCTCAGCTTCCTGAGTACTGGGATTACAGACATGAGTTATCATGCTAGTGTGTGTGTGTGTGTGTGTGTGTGTGTGTGTGTGTGTGTGTGTGTGTGTGTGCTCGTGCAAGTGCGTGCATGAGTTCAAGTACTGGGACTAAAATGTGCGTGCCACCTCACCCAGCAGGTTAGCTAATGTTTCTTGAGCCCCTGCAGTGTTCGAGAATTAGACAGAGAATTTACAGAGCCATCCCCTGCTGCGGCTTCCACTGCTCTGGAAACAGGCCAAGAAACAAACCTGCAGAATAACTTATAAAGTAAAAGGGAACCTGGTTAGAATCAGGTTAAAAGAATGTGGGTGTGGCCAGGCATTGGTGGTGCACACCTTTAGTCCCAGCACTTGGGAGGCAGAGGTAGGCGGATCTCTGTGAGTTCAAGGCCAGCCTGGTCTCCAGTGCGAGTGCCAGGATAGGCTCCAAAGCTACACAGAGAAACCCTGTCTTGAAAAAAAAAAAGAATGTGGGTGTGGTGAGAGGCTAGCTGCTTTGCCTCAGGCTATGGGGTGGGGGGAGGCATACCCCGCCCCACACACACTGGGTTTCTTTTTCTCTGTGTAGCCCTGACCATCCTGGAACTCACTCTGTAGACCAAGCTGGCCTCTAACTCAGAGATCTGCCTGCGTCTGCCTTCTGAGTGCTGAGATTAAAGGCGTGCTGTGATGTTTTCACTGAGTCCTGAACAGCAGGTGCAGAGGTCCTGGGGCAGGGTGATGATTTTACAAACTGCCAAACTGTGGAGGCTGGAATATTGTGCAAGAGGGAGGGAGGAGGGACACTGAGTCAGGTGACTCAGCATGATGTCTCTATTCAAGTAATTACAAACCATTGTAGTACCTTTTTTATTGTTAAATCTCTCTCTCTCTCTCTTTCTCTTCTCTCTCTCTCTCTCTCTCTCTCTCTCTCTCTCTGTGTGTGTGTGTGTGTGTGTGTGTGTGTGTGTGCCTGTCTGTGTCTGTTCAGGTGCCTGGCTGGCCCTTTGGGGACATCTCAGAGCACAAAGCACAGGACTTTCCTGACCGCTGCTGACTGAGAATAGAAGGCCTTCCTAATTGTTTGGTCTCTTCCTGGAGTCATGAGGGCTCTGAGAGCCTCAACCTCCATGGGACCACAGAGGGAGGGCTGAGGAGCATGTGGGCACAAATGGTACCAAGGTGACAGTGGCCAGAGCACTTTGAGGAAACAGCAAGCCACTTAGCAAAGGTCACACAGCTGGACCCTGAGGAGGGGCTCCTGACTCTTGGTCTCTTTATGCTCAGCTCGATGTCCTCCACAATAGCTCAGCTGGCTAGAGGGAGATACTGTGGTCCCAGACCACATGCAGTTTGTCACTTGTCTGGCCCAGTGGATTCAGGGACAGGAGGTTGTTTTTGCTTTAGAACTTGGATGTCTTTCAGAAGGCCATGTGACTGCCCAGAATTCCAAGCGGCCCTGTGGGTTTAGCATTTCTGTAATCTGTGTGGTTCCCAGGCATGGAATTGGCTGCCCATGCATGACCCCTGAGCCCAGTGTCCTCTGAGTTCTCCTAGGCTGAAGTGGAGCCTCAGGGAAGAGGATGGCAGGGCTGTGGGGAGGTAGGCTGTCTCCTAGGCCAGACCCAGAGGGGCACCTCCCTCACCATGCACTACTGAGTGTGAGCAGAGTCGGGGAGGGCCGGGCCTGGGGCTGGATGTCAGGCCATGTGGCAGGAGGCCACCTTCAGAGAACTTGCCTTGCTGACTCATTCTTCTGGGAGTGTATGTCTCCCCATGTGCCTGTCATTCCCATTGTGTCATGTCTTCTCGTTGTGTCATGTCCCATCCTCTGTCCTGCACCCCTGCACCTCCCCCCACCCTAAGGATGGGAATGAGGGAGCAGAAGTGAGAGTCTGAACAAGAAGAAGGGCCACTATGCTGCGGCTGCAGCTGGCCACTATCAAGCAGATCTGGGTGAGACACTCCTAGCAATGGCTGTACACAGGTTGCAGGAGGAGGGGGTGTCCCTTCCCTTCTCTGTGCCTCAGTTTGTCATTGGTGGAGTAAAATCCACTGTGCTATCTCCCAGGCCTCTTGTGTCCAAAGAAGATGATGCCCCGTTGTGGCAGTCCCCACTGTTGCCGTGGGGACAGGGTGTGTGACCAAGTCAGTGTGCCCACAGTAGGGCACTTTCAGACTATGAGCTGGGCTGGGGATTCGGTTCAGTGATAGAGTGCTAGCACACAGTGCCACCGAGGATGCCCGAGGCCCGGGCTTCCCTCCCCACACTGCTTGCCCCTTCCCTGGCTGGGGTTCCTGGGGTCACAGTGGCAGCCACCAGCCCTGCTCTCTGGCTGTGTCCCTTTCTGTCGTCCTCTGTTCCTGTAATGTACCTCTCTAGCACACCTCTCACTGTGAGATTTTGTCTTTCTTGTCTCAGCTTCTAGAGGCCACAGCCCAGCCCGTAGGCCACCACTCAGCACTCTCACTTCCAGGGCTTTTCCCTGACAAAATATTCTGGCACGTGCTGGGAGTCATGTGCTGGGAGTTCACTGTGGGCCACTTGAGTCACTCCCTGAGGGAGCCCTCAGAGTATCCTAGCAGTTTGAGAATACCGTTGTTGTCAGAATGATTATGGTGAGGTAGGGGACAGGGCAAACAGTGGCTTGCCCAGCCCTGGGGTCCTAGATGTGCCTGTTTAATCCCAGCACTAAGGTGCTAGAGGCAGGAGGATCTCTGTGAGTTTGAGGCCAGCCTGGTCTACAGAGCTAGTTCCAGGACAGCCAGAGCTACACAGAGAAACCCTGTCTCAAAATAAATAAAGAAAGAAAGAAAGAAAGGAAGAAAGAAAGAAAGGGGGGGGGGTAGCGGCAGAGTGTCCTGGTCACTTGGACTCTGCCTAGTGTGGATCCTTCAATGTTTTCTAGGTTTACTTACAAGGACTTGACCCTTGTTCCTGTCACAAAGGACCCCATGTACTTGTTTGAACAATGCTGCCTGGTGTACTGAAGTTACTCAGCGTCTTTTATCTTTATTGATTAGTTAATCTTTGTGACGTTGATTAGTGTTAGATAAAGCAAATTGCAGAATCGAGATTCAGGATATCCTGATTTCTCTAAAATTAGCCCTGCAGTAGACCATATGTGTATAGTAACTTAAAGAAAAGAGGAAGTCTCCATAAGGAGGCACTTCAAACTGGCACGGGTAAGATTGGTAGAAAAGTGAGATGGTGGGTGGGGTTTATAACAGGAGATCTAGTCTTTTTTGTTTTTGTTCTTTGGTTTTTTGAGGCAGGGTTTCTCTGTATTGCTTTGGAGCCTGTCCTAGAACTTGCTCTGTAGACCAGGCTGGCTTCGAACTCACAGAGATCCGCCTGCCTCTGCCTCCCTAGTGCTGGGATTAAAGGCATGCGCCACCAATGCCTGGCTGAGATTTAGTCTTTTTATATATTGCTTTTCTAAGCATTTATGTTTGTATCTATTAATTTATTCATTTTTGGTTTTTTGAGAAAGGGTTTCTCTGTGTAGCTCTGGCTGTCCTGGAACTCGCTCTGTAGACCAAGCTGGCCTTGAGGTCAGAGATTTGCCTGCCTCTGCCTCCTGAGTGCTGGAATTATAATGGTGTTAGCCACCAACCCAGCTTGTTTTTATTTTATTTTTATTTATTTTTGGGGGAGTTCAAGGCAGAGTTTCTCTGTGGCTTTGGAGGCTGTCCTGGAACTAGCTCTCATAGACCAGGCTGGTCTGGAACTCGCAGAATCCGCCTACCTCTGCCTCCCGAGTGCTGGGATTAAAGGCGTGTGCCACTACTGCCTGGCTGTTTTTATTATTTTTAATTATGTGTCTTTGTGTGGGTATGTACCCATGGGTACAGGTGCCTTAGCAGGCCAGAGGTATCACATGAACCACCCATGTAGGTGCTGGGAACCTAACTCAAGTCCCATAAGAGTAGTAAATGCTCTTAATTGCTGAGCCATCTCTTCAGTCCATATTATTTTATCATAAAACAAATGAGTATTTGTGAATTACTGTGCTAAGTTGAATTGATTACATTTATCTGTTTATTTCATGTGTATGAGTGTGGAAGTCAGAGGACAACTTTTGTAGTCATTTCTACTACATGGGGCCTGGTGGTCAAATTCAGGTCATTGGCTTGTTTTTCAATGAGCACTGTCACCCATGGAGACATCTTGCTGGCATACACATTTATTTTTTAAGACAAAAACATCCAGTGGCCGGGAGTTGGTGGCGCACGCCTTTAATCCCAGCACTCGGGAGGCAGAGGCAGGTGGATCTCTGTGAGTTTGAGGCCAGCCTGGTCTCCAGAGCGAGTGCCAGGATAGGCTCCAAAGCTACACAGAGAAACCCTGTCTCGAAAAACCAAAAAAAAAAAAAATTCAGTGGATACCTTTGGGGGTTAGGGACAGGCTGAAGGGAGATCATGTTCAACTGCTTAGACGGGTCCAATCTGGTCTCTCCCTGGGTGGCTCTATCACCCATGTCCCTTGCCTTCCCTCTTTGCAGTGCCGAGCCGTGTGTGGCCTGAACACTTCTGACCGCTGCGATTTTGTCAGGATGAATCCCGACTGCCACAGTGAGGGAGGCTACCTGGACTACCTCGAGGGCATCTTCTGCCACTTTCCCCCCAACCTCCTCCCTCTGGCCATCACCCTTTATGTGAGTCTGTGCCCTGGGGACCTGGTAATGGGCAGGTGTCTCCAGTGGGAAGTAACTGTGTTTCCCTTTCTGGTTCCCACCAGGTTTTCTGGCTACTTTACCTCTTTCTGATCCTGGGAGTCACCGCAGCAAAGTTGTGAGTGTGGCCTTGGGTCATGTCCAGCTTACAGAGGGGAAAATGCAATCCTGAGAGCTGAGAGCCAGTGACTTGGTTTGGGGGACTGATGGGGCAGGGGCCAGTCACTGCAAGCATGCTCATTGTTGGCCTTTCGTGGCAGCGGGCCCTCATGCATGCGTGTGCATGTGCTTACAGAGACCAGAGGCCAATCTCAGGTGTTGTTCTTGAGAATGCCAAGAATTCTGTCCTTTTTTGGGGGGGTGGGTGCATGGTTTGAGACAGGGTTTCTCTGTCCTGGAACTTACTTTGTAGACCAGGCTGGCCTCAAATTCACAGAGATCCTTCTGCCTCTGCCTCCTAAGCGCGCTGGGATTAAAGGCGTGTGCCACCACCACCTGGTTAGAATTCTGGTTTTTTTTTTTTTTTTTTTTTTTTTTTTGAGACAGGGCCTCTCACTGATTGGATTAGACTGGCTAGCCAGTGAACCCTTGCTTCCACAGCACTGGGGATTGCAAATATGCCACCATATCCAGCTTTTTCACATGGGACCAGGGATTGAACTCAGGCCTCCATGCTTACAAGGCAAGCACTTTACTGGCTGAGTCCCCTCCCTGCAGACCCTGACTGTTGGCTCTTCCTCTTCTAGCTTCTGCCCTAACTTGTCAGCCATCTCCACCAATCTCAAGCTCTCCCACAATGTGGCAGTATCCTTTGATCGAGCTCCCTGTAGGAAGGGTGGTCAAGGGAGGCGGGGACACAGGGTGGCAGTTGTGGTCTGCATGGAACCCCCTTGACATACTCCCCCATGGTGTCACCTTCTTGGCCTTTGGGAACGGAGCCCCAGATATCTTCAGCGCCCTAGTGGCTTTCTCAGACCCACGCACTGCTGGCCTGGCCATTGGGGCTCTGTTCGGTGAGCACAGTTCTATTGGTATATGGAGGTATTGGGGGTCTCCCAGAGTGTCTGCTCCTGAGTGGACTGCTCTGCTGTCTTCCAGGTGCAGGGGTGCTGGTCACCACTGTAGTGGCCGGAGGCATCACCATCCTGAACCCCTTCATGGCTGCCTCCAGGCCTTTCCTCAGGGACATCGCTTTCTACATGGCAGCTGTATTCCTAACTTTCACTGCACTCTATCTCCGGCGGATCACGCTGGCGTGGGCACTGGGTGAGCAATCAGGGGCATTCCAGGACAGAGTCTCTGGAAGTGTCTGAGGATGGAGAGGTTGATTTGATACAAAGTGACAAACTCTACTCAAGGCAACAAATGATAAACAAAGGGAGGGTGGAACCTGGAGACTTTCAGATGTGATATTACCCCAGGGGCCTCACAGTGAACACAGTCAATTCTGATTAAGAGAGCCCAATATGAGGATCAGGGAAGGGACACAAGCCACCATGGAGGGGCTACTCGTCATTTCCCTGGCGGGGGAGGGGTAAATGGGAACCTGGCAAGGGTCTTGAGCTGGAGCCACCCTAAACTCATTCTAGTCATGGAAGGTAAGAAGCCAGAGACAGGTTAGCCTAGCAGGAGGCTATCAGGGACCACATCCCAGACTTGCCTGTTGCTCTGACTTCTTCCACTGAGTAATGGGGGGCGGGGGTGCTGGTGGACGGGACTCACAGGTTACTGTTCACTTCCTTCTCCGATGGAGGGGTTTCAAGGCAGATAGGAAAGGTGGGCCTAGAATGCCAAGAAAAAGGTATGTAGACTCACCCACCAGGACCGGGTTAGGCTGACACCTGTTGCCCAGATGCCAGCTGATGATGTCTGCACCTCTGCCCGTAGGTTACCTGGGCCTCTATGTGTTCTATGTGGTCACAGTCATCCTCTGTACTTGGGTCTACCAACGGCAACGTAGCATGTCTCTGGTCCACTCCATGCCTGAGACACCAGGTAAGGAACCTCCACAGGGGTACAGAAGGGACTAGGCACCTCTGTCCTCTGCTACCTCATGTTCCCCAAGGCCAGTCTGTCTTTTGCCTGACCATCTCCTCTCTGTGCAGTTCCCACCCTGCCCACACCATGTCTGTCCCCTGATTTGTGTGGGCAAGCCTCAGAACTCTCTCGTCCCGGGTCACAGGTCTCCACAGCATTATCACAGTTGGTCACGTTCGTACACATTGAATGTACCTCTGCCCTCAGGAAGAATCCAGATGAACCCTATAGGCACATGTTCAGAGCACAAGTACACACATACACACAAGTGCACCTCCCCATGTATGTAACTCATACAAAATACACAGAAACATACTGTAGGTGGAGTTTTCCTGTCCTGACCCCTTGCTCCCAAATAACCAACACAGAAATTTAAGATTACTTATAAATGCTTGGCCGATAGCTCAGGCTTGTTACTAACTAGCTCTTACAACTTACCCCATTTCGATTAATCTATGTGCTGCCTCAAGGCTTGTGGATTTTGCCTCTATCCCATTTGGGAGGGGGCAATTTTTGAGACAGGGTTTCTCTGTATTGCTTTGGAGCCTTTCCTGGAAGTTGCTCTGTAAACCAGGCTGGCCTGGAACTCACAGAGATCCATCTGCCTCTGCCTCCTGAGTGCTGAGACTAAAGGCATGTGATACCACCGCCCAGCACCTCTATCCCATTTTGTGTGTCTGACTTATTATCTGCCTAGCTGGTGACTCCTCTGACTCCACCTTCCTCATCCCATCAACCAGCACCCCAACACCAGACAGATGGTAGACCCAGACTCCAAAGGCTATACCTGGGCACCTACAAGCCATTCTGTTGCCAGTCTGCATAAAGCCTGTCTGTGTGGCTTCAAGCCTGCAGGGGGCAGCACTATCTCACTCTGGCATAGAGGGCCTAAGCGCCCTCCTACAGGAAGGATGCCAGGATATCCCGCTCTCTGCTAAGCAAGCTGTTAGAATTCAGAGCCTGCCCTGCTGCTGTGTCTGTAGCGGGGCAGGCTCTGAAAAGCTGGGCAGGATGGGATGGGAAAGGATAGTGATTCTGGGAGAAGCCAAGATCACAGAGAGGCAAAAAGAGCTTCCCGAATGCTGGGATTAAACGCTTGTGCCACTGCTACCTGGCAAATGTAATAATTTTTTAAGGTCCTAGGCTAGCCTGGGAAAGCCAGTGTAGCCACCAGTCACTCACCTGTTGGGTATTGAACTGCACATGGCTATTGCCGATGTTTGAGGGTGTTTTGTGAGTTGTGTTCCCACAGTGTAGGGATTTCTGAGTGTGTGTAGCCATTGCTGAGAAAGCTAAAGTAAAGGGCTCAGGCAGAATGTGTCTGACATGCACAGGGTCCTGGGTTCTATCGCCAGCACTGCATAAGGTAGGCACGCCTGAGGTATGCCTATTACCCCAGCAATGCAGTGATGATGGCTGGAAGAAGTTCAGGGTCAGCCTGTGCTATGTGAGACCCTGCCAAGGAAGGAGGGGATAAAGAAGGAGGGAGGGAGGGAAGGTCTGGGCATTTGCAAATTAACTCCGTCCTGTCCCAGAGGTGATCCCTCCCCCCAACCCCCCACCCAGCATGGTTCCGGGATGTCACAGGCCTGTTAACCATGCCCTTCCTGCTCCTGTTTCCTACAGAGATACTGTCTGATTCTGAAGAGGATCAGGTGTCTTCCAACACCAACAGCTATGACTATGGTGAGGCCCCAGGCCCATGGTGTTAAGGACACCAGGAAATACTGGGGCCCTCTGCTGGGCTGGGAGGGCAGGAGAATAGGCCTTCCTGGATGAGCCAAGCACAGTCACATCTGCCCCACCTACTACACACAGGAGATGAATACCGGCCTCTGTTGCTGGGTCAGGAGACCACTGCCCAGATCCTGATCCAAGCCCTGAATCCCTTGGACTACAGGAAGTGGAGGACCCAGTCAATGTCCTGTAGGCTCCTGAAGGTGGCCAAGGTAAGAGGGGTCTCAGGATCCAGGCTCCTGGCCTTGTGTCTGTAATACAGCGTGGGATTATTTTGTTTTCTTTTGAGACAGGATCTTACTGTGTAGTCCTGGCTGGCCTGGCACTAGCTATGTAGACCAAGCTGACCTTGAACTCACAGAGATCCACCTGCCTCTGCCTCCTGAGTGTTGGGGCTAAAGGTGTGTGCACCATCCCCTGCCATTGTGATGCTTCACCTGGAGTCCACTGAAATGCCCTTTGATTTCGAACCTGGGATCAGTGGGGAAACTGAGTCCTCAGGCATGACTGGTGACCTGAACCAGGGCTTTCTACCCTCTATGGAAGAGGAAAAGTGTCTGCCAGGGACAGGGAAACCCACCAGAGGCCTGGGTAGATTTTAGACCTTGCTAGTCTCAGGAATAAAGAATGAACTACATAGCCGGCGTTGGTGGCACACACCTTTAATCCCAGCACTCCGGAGGCAGAGGCAGGCGGATCTCTGAGTTCGAGCCCAGCCTGGTCTTCAGAGCGAGTGCCAGGAAAGGCTCCAAAGCCACACAGAGAAACCCTGTCTCGAAAAACAAACAAACAAAAAAACCGAACAAACAAAGAATGAACTACGTTTGTACACCTGTGCCTCTGACGTCATCCAAGCCCGGTTCCTTCAGTATAAAATGGGATTGTGGGGCAGGGAATGTAGCTCGCTGGTGGAACGCTTGGCCTAATGTGCTTGAAGCCCTGAGTTCATCCCCACATTACGTAAGTGAGGTGTGGTGGGCGCACCTCTAATCTTGGCACTGAGGAGGAGGTAGAACCAGAGAAGGGGCCAGGATGCACGGGGCACTCCAGGATGGAGGAGCTTTTGCCGCACCCCCTTTCCAGCTGACCCCTCCCACTCCCCACCGACGCTGTCCCACACCCCCAGTTGCCTGTGGAGTTCTTGCTGCTGCTCACAGTACCCGTCGTGGATCCTGACAAGGACGATCGGAATTGGAAGCGGCCACTCAACTGTCTGCAGCTGGTCATCAGCCCCCTGGTCCTGGTCCTGACCCTGCAGTCGGGGGTCTGTGAGTACTACTCCCCCACTGTCTCCCTCCTCCTCTTCCCCCAGAGCCTCTTCAGACTAGACTCCCAGGTATGCCTAGCCAACAAGAACTTCCCTGTCAGTGGTCCAGTCCTGTCGCCTGCAAGTGGAGCTGTAAACAAGTGGTCCTAGGATAGGCCACATCCAGCCTCTGCCTGTCTCGTCTCCATCAAAGACAGGAGGGCTGAGGGATGGGCAGGGCTCAGAGATAGAACACTTGCCTAGCAGTTGAGGTGCTGGGTTTCATGTCCAATACTATGCTACTACTAAAAAAAAAAATTAGAGACTGCTGGGCGATAGTGATGTGCACCTTTAATCCCAGCACTTGGGAGGTAGAGGCAGGTTGATTTCTGAATTTGAGGCCAGCCTGGTCTACAGAGCGAGTTCCAGGACTATACAGTCAGGCACTGTCTTTAAAAAAAAAAAAAATTAGGGCTGGAGATGGCTGGGAGGTTAAGAGCACTGGCTGCTCTTCTAGAGGTCCTGAGTTCAACTCCCAGCAGCTACATGGTGGCTCACAATCAGCTGTAATGAGATCTGGTCCCCTCTTCTGGCCTGCAGGCATACATGCAGGCAGAACCATGTATACATAATAAATAAATAAATCTTAAATAAAAAAGTTACAGAATGAGAAATTTCACATCAAATTCCAGCTTTACCATCTTGAGATCTAGGCTAGAAGGAACACATGCCAGAGCCTGGAGGGTGGCCCTCAGCTTCTGTGGTCCCGGAGCCTGCCATTGCCCTCAGAGTAACTTGCTGGCCCCCACCACACTGGCTTTTCCCCACCGGCCCCAGAATAGCAGTTTCATTTCTATCTTGTTGTAGCTGAGGAACACAAAGACTCGCCAGGCACTTTCTAGTCCCACCTGTTTTTCTCTTGTTTTCTGAGGTGAGTAACTCATAGTTCTCATGTCTGTCTTCCGGTACCTCCCTCAACCCAAGGTTGGTGAGGTGGGAGTCTGAGGCAAAGGCATGGTGATCACCATGCGATTTTTTTTAATAATCTAATTTTTAAATTATTTTTTAAAGGTTTTATTTATTATGTATATAATATTCTGTTTCCCTGTATATCTGTACACCAGTAGAGGGCACCAGATCTCATAATGGATGGTTGTGAGCTACTATGTGGTTGCTGGGAATTGAACTCAGGACCTCTGGAAGAGCAGCCAGTGCTCTTACCCTCTGAGCCATCTCTCCAGCCCTCACCATGCAATTTTCATGCCAGGGTGAAACCAGAACTATGTTGTATGAATGTGTGCCCAGATTATAGAAGGATGGGGGTGGCTGTGGTTAGGAAGGGAAATCAGGATCCCTGGGAACCTGGTCCCTTACAGCCTTTGTCCCTGAGGGAGCTGTGGCCCTGCTTCCTACCAGGGCAAGCCTGAAGTTTACTTCCTAGCCACTGGGTCTTTTTCTAGGATGGAATCCAGGGCTTCACACAGCTAAATGTAAACATGCCTATGCTATAGCCCCAGCCCTCACCTTTTTATTTTAGATAGTCTCAGTATGTATCCCAGGCTGGCCTTGAACTCACCATGTAGAGGAAGAAGAATGCCATACACTCCAGAATTTTCTGCCTCCATCTCCTCAGTGCGAGAGCTAAGATGATAGGCATCCACCACCCTATCTGGTTTATATGATGCTGGAGGAGGAACCCAGGCTTTAGGCATGCTAGGCACACTGTCTCCCGGCCCAGCTGCTTCCTCAGCATGCTGCCCACCTCCTTTCTGGCATTTGAGACAATGTTTCTTGTATCCCAGGCTGTCTTCAACTCTATGTAACTGAGGCTGGCCTTGAGCTTCTGAACTTGCTAAAAGTCTGTATCACTGTGGGGAATTGTGGGAGGAAGTGGGAGCCAAGGCTGGGGGATCCCAGCTCCCTTTCTTGTCCCATAGATGGCATCTATGAGATTGGTGGCCTCCTTCCTGTCTGGGCTGTGGTGGTGATCGTGGGCACAGCTCTGGCCTCAGTGACCTTCTTTGCCACATCTAACAGAGAGCCCCCTAGACTTCACTGGGTAAGGATTGGAGGCCTCCGATGGACGGCCCGGCCTGGGTGTGTTCCTGGGGTGGCTTGGTGAGCCGATAATGTCTACCCTAAAGGGGAACTGAACCCCAAGCTATTTGCCTGTTCAGGCTTGTTTTATTGAGATACTACATACTTTTCTGGTTTTGTTTTGTTTGCTCCATTATGTGCCTAAGTGTTTGGCTTGCATGTGTATATGTGCACCAAGTGTATGCAAGCTCAAATCTTGAATACTGTCAGGCAAGCACTCTGCTACTGGGTCCCATCCCAACCTGGGTTGTGGGTACCTAGGTTACAAATAAGGACCTGAGGCTGTGTCCTGCTGGGGACCAGCTGGGGTCCTAGCAGGATTCCCATTTCCTCCACAGCTCTTTGCCTTCTTGGGCTTCCTGACCAGTGCCTTGTGGATCAATGCAGCTGCCACCGAGGTGGTGAACATCTTGAGGTCCCTGGGCGTGGTCTTCCGTCTGAGCAACACTGTACTAGGGCTCACCCTCCTGGCCTGGGGGAACAGCATTGGAGGTGACTTGGGGCTCTTTCCTTCCCTGGCCACAGTGTGTGTGTTCTCTGCACCAGTGGGTTGCCCACTGTCATTTTTGAGTGACTACCACTGTGTGTGTGTGGGGGGGGTGGCGGTCACTAAACCACCACTGGGCTGGAATATTCTACAAAGGCCTTCCTAGTTTGATGCAGAAACACTCCACAGCTCCCCAGAGTTCAGGCAGGACATGAAACCCATTACAACCAACCATGCTTAGTGTACATGTGGGGGGTGTGACACACAGGCTGTCACACATACATACCTATAGCACTTGTGTAGTCACAGCAGCTTGGTTATGATTGACCAGGTTACCCACTGAACAGGAACAGTCTAGCATGGAGCTAGGAGTCCAGAACCCAGCTGTCCTTTAGCTCAGGCCTTAGAGTATCTCACCGAAAGCACACAGAGGTGCCGTGAGATATAGTGGGGTACAGTACTATACCCCTAAGGTTGCTCCCAGTGAGAAAGAGTGGGGTAAGCGGAATTAGAGTGAAGGGTGTCTTAGAGGATGCTGGGTCCCTCAGAGGGCCCCTTATCGGTGTTTGTTGACTGACTAGCTATGTAAACAGGAGCCTGCCCCTCACAGCCTACTCTCCCTCTCTGCAGATGCTTTCTCAGATTTCACGCTGGCCCGCCAGGGCTACCCTCGGATGGCATTCTCTGCCTGTTTCGGTGGCATCATTTTCAGTATCCTTTGTGAACTTCTTTGAGCCCCGGTGTGATGTCCCAGCTCTGAGAATCACAGGTGGGCTCTGAGTACCACCCTTGGGACTGGCCAGGGACCTATGGCTTCACCTTCGCATTTGTTGATGGGGAATTCTAATTCCAGCCTCAGGTTAGTAGAAAGGAGTGAACCTGAAATGATCAGGGATGGTCTTGGCTCCATCTTAGCCTCAGTTTCCCCATCTGCCAAGTGCTCACAGGTGCCCAGCATTTCCGACACCCCATTTCGCTCTCGCAGGTTGAGTGCAAAATAAGCTCTTCATACCCATTTTATTAAAGGCATTAGCATCAAGGGTTTGGGGTTCGGGGCCCTGGGTGTAGACAGTCAAGAAGGCCATGTGCTGAGGAGGCCTCTGAGCCCAGGACTGAGGTGAGGAAGGGCTGTAAGGTTGGGCTGTGGGCTCCTGCAAAGCTTCCTTAACTGGCTACAGATATCCTGGTGGGTGTCGGGCTAGGTTGCTTGCTGCAGATTGCCCGGAACCACGCCACAGAGGTGAAGGTAAGCCAACCGTCTTGAGGGACAGCTAGTGTGACTGCAGAATATCTTAAAAATATTTGACATAGGGGTTGGAGTTTCCCTGCAAGCAGACAAGATAACTAAGATGCAGCTTGCATGGAACGGGCAGGTGGCCTGGGGCTTTGGATCCATTCAGGTTGCCAGTGGATTAGTGATGACTTACCCCACTTCCTGGATAAGCATGCATGGGGTGAGGTCCAAAGCTGGGAGTCAGACCCCAAAACTGCCCACAGGGAAGAGCTGGGAGAAGAGATGTACCCCAGAAGGTGGGCCCATCACCTCAAGGGAGGACTCTCTTGTTTTTGTTTGTTTTTTTGAGACAAGGTTTCTCTGTGTAGCCCTAGAACTCTCTGTAGACCAGGCTGGCCTTGAACTCACAGAAATTCATCTGCCTCTGCCCCCTAAGTGCTGGCATTAAAGGTGTGGGCCACCATTGCCTGGCTCTCAGGGAGGACACAGGCTGGCCTAGATTCTTGTGTATGCCAAGACTTTACTGAGGCATTGAAGTACATGTGTTTTGGGGAGGAGTCTGGGAATCTTCAATCTTCAGAGACCTGGGGACTAAAGTCTATGGCTCAGACATGCTAAGCCATGGCCCAGAGGGCTCTCACGGTGGATGCTCAACAACCTCTCTTGTTCTCCCCACAGCTGGAGCCAGATGGACTGCTGGTGTGGGTGCTGGCCAGCGCCCTGGGACTCAGCCTAGTCTTCTCACTGGTGTCCGTGCCGCTTCAGTGTTTCCAACTCAGCAAGACCTATGGTCTCTGCCTGCTCCTCTTCTACGTCACTTTCCTTATTGTGGTCCTACTCACAGAATTTGGGGTGATTCACTTGAAGAGGGTCTGACTGAAGCTGCTTGGCCTGGTGGTTTAGGGGTGACTCCCCTGGCCTCCTGATGGGAGAACTGGAGGGGGGCCCTCTGCAGTTCCTGTGTAGCTCCCAAAAGGGTGGTCTATTATTGCCAGAGCAGAGAGCTCCTCATGGATAACAAGGTCCTGAATGCTGGCACCCAGCAGCTTTAGTCTGGGGATTTGGAGGCTGGCTTTGCTGGGGACCACCCCAGGTGGAAAGGATGGGCCAGTGGGGAGGACAGCCTGTTGGCTCCCATCACTGCTAGGCTTTGGGCAGCAGCCCTGTGCCTCCTCCTTAGGCCCTCCCACAGTCCACAGTGTCAGCTGAGTCCCGCACCAGTGTTGGCTGAACAGACCCAGCATGTTGTTTCTCAGCTTCTCATGTAGTGTTACAGTCAAAGGAAACAGGTCATGTTAACCGTTGTACATGGTACTGAGCCACATGGTTCAAAACCACCTGGCCCCTACCCTGCCCGACAAGTGACTGCTACATTGGACCATGGATCCAGACTCTTCTAGAACTTTGTGTTCGGAATTCTGGCTCCCCAGTCTACAAAACAGGAGCCAGCCTGGGCCCTGTGTGCCTACCTCAAGGGGAGCCAGGGGGAGTGCCCCCCTCCACAGGGGCTTCTTGCAAGTGGTGTGACCAGCCTTTTAAAGATGCCACTCACTCCCTGACTGCTTTCAGCTGTAACTGAGAAACTTGATTGTTGGTTTTTAGTCCCCATCCCCTCCCCCCCAAAAATAAAAAGACGAGCTATTTTACTCATACCAGAGAGGTCCACAGGTGACCGGAAAGTAGGGCGGGGTTAAGGTGGGGTCAGTCCCAAGCTGGAAGCCAAAGGCTGTAGTCATATTTACAAAGCAGAGGCTCTTTATTGACACACCACAAGTCTGGGCACAGTGGGTTTCTAGGTAACAAATCATTGTATAAAACCTTCTGACGTAGCTCCTTGACCCATACAAAATGATTGTCTGCATGGTGTGGAGTAAGGCTGGGGTGGGAGGAGGAGAAGCATGGTTCCACAGCTACCCCTGCTAGGTTGTGACACAGCCTCCAGTCCCCACTCAGCTGAATTGAGGGAAGGGGCAGCTGGGCTTAGATGGGGTTCCAGGGTCTTCAGCTCACAGCCTGGATGACATCCACCTGTCCCCTGCTTGACTAGCAAATTTGAGTCAGCTTGGTGTGCCCAAGGTGACCTGTAAGGATAGGTGTCCCTAGTCTATATGACTGGCTGGAGTTTGGCCTATCAGCCCTATCTCCTCCTGGTACCTGGCTGGTAATGTGCTAAACCCAGGAGTTTTAGTACCTTCATCTTAGGCCCTAGACCAGTTCCCCCACCTGGGCTCTGCCACCCCTAGGTTAAGGGATACTGACAATTCCTGGGGTAGAAGAAGGGCCTAGGACCAGGCTGGATGCTCCAAGGCCCCAGGCCCTCTGCATAGGCCTCTCCTCTTTGCTTCTGGAATGCCAGTACACAAAAGGCATCCAGCTGTGCAGATGAAGCTGCTCTCTGGAGGGAGGGCTGTGGCCAGGAGTCCAGGCTGAGTGCCAGTGGAGGCCAGGAGCCCTTCAAAGTTGATGGGATGCTACCAATCTCCTGACTGCCTGTGGGAACCAGTGGTTTTCCCAGAGGGCTGTGCTTTATTTAGAGTGAAGACACCAGCATTGGTGTTCCGGCATGGTCCCTGGATCAGCTGAATGGGGTGTTGGACCCAGCTTTGTCCTCTTTTGCAGCTGGGAGAACATGAAGGGACCCATACCCGCCCACTGTGAGTCCCAAGAAGCAACAGGCATAGAAGGCCAGGTTAGCCGGGTGCCCGCTGGAGACCAGAGATGCTTTACCAGCTCTCACCAGGTCTGCCTGCCTCATCCCTTGGTGGACACAACAGTGGGATGAAGTGACCACAGATCCATCCCTGCCACTGTTCCCTCACTATCCAATCACCACCTTGTTGAGATGTCAAAGGAACTCCGAGGAGGCCCTGGTGGGGGCCACTGAATGCTTACCTGTCTCCCCTCCCACACCTACCTAGCTTATGAGAACCTTCGGGAGGCCAGTCCTCATGGTGCCTCAGAGTTCTTGAAAAGCAGCTACCCATGGTGTGGATGTGGTGGTGCCAGAGACAGCAGTGATGGCAGGAATGTCCCTGTGCTGTGGCTCCCTCCCAGACCTTAGTGTCTACTGGAGAAGGGGGATGGGGTGGGGACTGCCTTCAGCACCAGCTCAAATTAACTCTGCTGAGGAGATGACCCCCAGAAGGGACTCAGCATACCCTGGCCAAATTCCTGGGGCCTCCTGTTGGCTTCCTCCTGCAGGGCCTAACTTCTCTGGGATTTCAGCAAAAGGAAGGACCAGAAGCTCAAGAGAAAGTGTACGCTGCTGTCTGGTGCCATCTCTGTTCAGCAGAGGCCTAACTAGATATGTCTGGCCTCCCTCAGGCTTCCCACGGGATCCCAGGCACTGATCCCACAGGGAACTTTCTAGCACTTTTATCTACTGGCATCATCAGTAGGACATGGGGTTTCTTCTTAGTGGTTTTGTCCCTAATACCAGACATAGACACCTGTGATGGATGTGGGGACACTGCAAGGTTGGTGCTTCAGGCAGCAGCAGGGAGGTCCCACCTGTGTGTGCCCCCCCCAGAGGGGGGAGAGACTGGCATTGCTGAGACGGCACAGCCTATTTAAGGAGCTTCTTGAGAAGAGGGCTTCCAAGATTTCCATGGTAGGAAGAGCTCAGCCAGGCATGGTTCTAGCCCAAGCCGACTTCTGAAGCTCAGGAAGACAGAGCAAGGCGGTTCAAACCGGCCCTGGCTAGTCCTTTTCTGTCTCTGTAAATATGTGCATATATATGAGTGTGTCTGCATACACACATGGTTTCCACACATTGTAGTACATAATACTGTGGTGTTATTGCATAGAAGAGTTGGCTTGATGAGACCCGGCTAGGTAACAGTCTGGGAGCGCTGACGAATGACAGGGGGCTGCTGGGCGGCAGGGCCAGGCACGATGCCCTTAAGTTGCTGCTGCATCTCCTGTTCCCGGGCGTGCTCCTCATACCACTCCTAGAGCAGAGGTGAGTGATGCTGAGGGCGGTTCAACTTCCAACCCACTCCCCCAGTTGGGACACAGCCCACCACAAGGGGCAGCAAAAGAGCCTCTGCTGGGTGAGACATCAATGTAGGAAGAGTCAGGGGCCCACCTATCTAGATAAACACCCCCCCCACCACCCTGGGGATAGGGACAATGGCCCCCAATGGAGAAAAAGCCACAAAACCACTAGAGGCCTGAGCCAGGGCCACATGAGTTCTGCAGGAGACCAGGTCCAGGTTTAGCGGGTGTGTGTGTGTGTGTGTGTGAGAGAGAGAGAGAGAGAGAGAGAGAGAGAGAGAGAGAGAGAGAGAGGCCTTCATTGGGACACTGCTTCTGCTGCCCTCTGAAGGATAACAGGGGTCTTTTATAAACTGTTTATAAAAGGGTGGTGGCGGCAAATGCCTTTAATCCCAGCATTTGGTAGGCAGAGGCAGGCTGATCTCTGAGTTCGAAGCCAGCCTGGACTACAGACTGAGTTCCAGGACAGCCAAGGCTGTTACACAGAGAAACCCTATCTTGAAAAACTAAAAAAAAAAACCTAAGGCTGGCTGCCCTGTCAACATTCCAGGCTCCCTGCCTACCCACTTGCTATTCAAGATAGAGGCGTCAGGCTCTTTCCCATCACTCTTGTTGCCCTCATGACTGGTGTGTGGTATTATCTGTGAATGCTAATTCTGCCACCCCTTCCAGCCCACTGCCAATAAACAATTATTTAAGGGGAGGGGGGTGGAGAAAGAAAAAACAAATCAAACAAACAAACAAAAAACCTAACAGTCACTTACCTCCCAGCTTTACTCAGAAAGCCAGCTGCTCCCAGGGCCTGGGGAATTCAGGTCCCATATTTTAAAAAAGAGAACCCAAGCCACAGTCCTTTAGAGCTTAAGGAATTCTCCAGAGTCAGCTGATGGCTGTGCCCCTCAGCAGGAGGGACATCGAAGCCTGGAGTGGGCTAGGCAGGCTAGAAGATGGGAGTTGCCTGGCCTCTGGGTGCCTTTAGTGTTCCTAGGAAGTTGCACCACTGCTCTGCATATCATACTGTTCTGTCACTTGCAGTGGGGACTGGGACACCAAGTGGCTTCTACATATAGAAAAAAGCCGACCACAACTTCTTGTTAATGAAGCTACTGCATAGGAAGTCCCAGAGACCCCACAGGGAGGAGAGCTAAGTAGCTCATGCCTCTGGGTTCTGTTGGAAGGGCATGGAGCCAGCTTGCAGTGTTTACACTTTTTGTTTTTGTTTTGTTTGCTTGTTTCTCAAGACAGGGTTTCTCTGAAGCTTTGGAGCCTGTCCTGGAACTTCCACTCTGTAGACCAGGCTGGTCTTGAACTCACAGAGATCCACTTGTTTCTGCCTCCCAAGCACTGGGATTAAAGGCGTGCGCCACCATTGCCCACCCTATACTTTTAACAGTTTCGGTATGGTAAGATTGGGAGATGGTGGAAGGAAGGGAAGGGAAGGGAAGAAAGGGAGGGAAGGGAAGGAAAGAGAGGGAGGGAGGGAGAGCAGGTCCTGTAGGGAGCCTGCCTGTCTCTTCCCTCACTCATATCTCTGGAAAGAACCACAGGGGCACTGGAAACTCTCAAGGAGCAGCATGGCCACGCAGTGGGTTGGACAGCAAAGTGGCTACCCAGCAATTCATCAACGTGTCAAGGCTGTGAACAGTCTTGGGTCCTGAGACCCTGGGAGGGCATGGACCCCTCCTGGGCCCTCTACCAGAAGCGCCCCTCCCAGGGCATCAGCCCCTACCTGGATTTCCTCCTGGTACATCTTCAAGCTCAGGTCACTTTTGGTTCTTGATCTCCGTCCCAGAAACACCAAAGAATTTTGCTAGGGGGGAACGGAGGCTGTGAGGTATATGTAGCTGCAGACAGCATGGACTCACCTGGGCCTGAGCCCTAGGGCTGTACCATGGAGGCTACTCCCACCCCTCAACCCCGACGTTTGCAAGGATGCCACCAGCTTGAGATGGCAGGTCCCTTCCCCTTTGCAATTGAGAGCCTATGGTCCCTTCCTTACCTGGTATTTCTCCATCTGCGAGAGGGTGTCAAGCAGCCGGGTGACATCAGAGGAGGCGCCTCGCACCTCACGATAAAGCTCCAGAATGGCCAGAAGCTCTTCCTTGGATAGTTCCTTCTCGATGACGATGCCACTGTCCACTGGAGGTGGAGAGAGCCGTGTCCACAACCACTTTCCCCCACTGTGGAGCCTAGCTCTTCCCCCAAGCAGCTCCTGCTCCTGCCCCAGCCACTGGTGGTCCTTGCTTCCCTTCCCCCTCGCTAATGTATCAGGAAGTCATGTATAGCCTACAGCTTACAGGGAACACAGGGTATCAGGGGGAGCAGGGTGTGGTAATCTCAACATTTAGGTATGGAGAGTAGGTAGACCATCTCAAAGCCAGCCTTAGCTACCTAGCAAGTTTGAGACCAGCTTGGGCTACAAGAGTACCTATCTCGTAAAGGGCTTCACGGGGGAGTCTCCAAGAAAATAGAAAAATATCGGGTGCCATTCAGGATGCGCAGACAGGAAGATTGCAAGTTATAGGCCAGCCTCAGTTATACCTGAGACTGCCTCTAAACACACACTTAGTGAACATATAGAACATCAACTAGCTTGACACCACATAGATTGAAGAAGTAGGAATGGGTGGACAGTTCTGGTGGTGTGTGGTTTTTC